TAAAGGCATAACCACAACAAAACAACCATGGTCTGAACCAACCCAAAGAGGCACAACCTCCACCAATGTGAAAAATGATTAGCAAATACACTACGGTGGTATTCTAAGATTTCATTTTCTTGGTGTTCTCAATGTTAGTATTGATACATATCTTTGCTAATATTTTTAAAAAAAAAATGGAAACTAAATTATTATATATACATGGAATTTAATTAAAAATAATCTCTCTTTATCTCATTTCTTTCTACTAGCATTATACTATTTAGCTTCTAATGAATTCAGGCACATTCTTAAGTTGAAAACAATTACAAGTAATCTCACTTTTTCTGAGTTAAATAAGATTAAAAAAATCAAATAATCTAGAATCTAGAATTGTAGTCAAACACCATTATTTGACCTTTTTTTTAATCCAATAATAACACTAAACCCAAAGATTTATTTATAATTACAAAAAAACAAAATTCAAACCCATTAAGAAATGAATTGAACAAATACAAATTCTATTAAGAGAGTGGAATTGAACAAATACAAATTCTATTATATATTAAAATTAAGAATTCTATTAATACAAATTCTTTTAATCAATTGGGCTCTACCAGCATACGACAACACTTTATTAGCTCACGATTTAATCCTCTTAGTAATCCTAGCAACCAATTGATCAGAATCTATTTTACACAACTTAGTAGAGACAAGAGGAACCCCCAAATACCTCATAGGAAGCTTCCCATCTTTAAAATCCATAATAGAAAGCAACTCACCTCTCAAGTGACAGTCCATATTCCAGCAAAGAACATACGACTCTTAGGATGAAAGATCTTATGGGACTCTATTTATGAAAAATCTTATTCATTCATATACATTTTGTGTCTAATTGTACAAAATTGATATCTGTGTTGCAGATTTATTCATAATTATGTACGCGCATGACTAAAAGGAAGATAGATATCTAGAGGAAGCAATAAAAGCTTTATTTTTTATACAATCTGAAATCTAATTCCAATGAGATGCAAAAAATGTAGACCAACTAAACTAACCTCAGCTGATCAAGAAACAAATAATGCCATATTACTGTCGTGACCATCAAAAATCAACCAGCCCTAGGAATTGATCTTGAACCCCAACAAATTAGGGCCTTCTAGATGACTATTTAAACCCTTCATCAATCATTTTTTGGTTTTAAAATTTTAGCTGATAAAGCAGAGAACTCATCATCGGTTGTGAGAGTGGATTGTTATATATATAACTCATCATCTAATCGCCTTATGTAGAACTCATCGAGGGTTTGAATTGGGGTTTCGGTTTGGGAGGGTTTAAAAGGGTAGATCGAGATGGAGAGAGATAGTGAGGCAGAGATTGAGAGCGAAGGTGAGGTAGAGATAGAGATAGAGATAGAGATAGAGAGATGGTGAGATAGAGATGGAGCACTCCAACTGGGACTGATCTTTTCCAGATGTCGGAGGTAAGGGTTTGGCTAGAAAGAGGGTTGGGGTTAGAGAAGTGGGCGGTGGAGAATCTAGGGTTTGTGGTTGTAGTGCTGGTCGTTCTGGAGAAGAAACAAAGAAAAAAATGATGGAGAGAGAGAGAGACGAAAGCTATGGAGAGAAACAAACAGACAGAAAGACACAGAGAGTCCTAATTCTAGGTAGTGTTTGACACTCTGAAATTTTATTTTGGTGCTATTTTTTTTAGTCACATCTTTTAGGATAGCATTGTGTATTATGGAAAGTGTAATATTTTAAATGGTTAATTTTTTTGTGGGTCGTGAAAAGTATAATTTTTAATGATTAAATTTTTGTGTCGTGAAATATTTAATATTTTTATCAATTTATAGACGCATGTTGTGTATAGTTGATGTATTAACGGCATGTCATATGCACGTCATAAAATTTTTTATTATTTACAGTTAACATTGCAAGTCATAAAAAAATCATCATTATTAACATTTACGACCTACGCAATACACACATCGTAGTTGAGAAATTATTTACGATATGCAAAAAAAGCAAGTCATAAAAATAAGAAACCATAGCTTGCATTTACTGTATGTCGTTGATATGAAGCTGTAAAAACCCAGTTTTGTTGTAGTGGATAAACATAAAAGGGGTAAAAAAATTAAAACCCTACTCATTTTTTTCATTGTCGCTTAATACATTAAAATTTTCCCACCAACATTTTTTCCCCACCAGAAGATCTCAAAAATATTAAAAAATTTTGGTAACGAAAGCATATTCCTCATAAATAATTTTATAATTAGTGATCAATTTTTTTCTCACCAAAAGTCCCAAAATTTTGGCGCCACCTAAAAAAATTAGTGAGAAAATTTTTGGTGACGAAACTTAATTTTTCCTCACCTAAAAAAAGTTTTATTAACGAAAATAAATTTCGTCACCTATCATTTTTATTTTTTTATTATATGTGACAAAATTTATAAATTTTTATTTAGTGGCGAAATTTATTTTCTTCACTAGTTTTCGTCATCAGGGGGCGCTGATCGAAGAGAACATGAGGCATCGAAGGAGACGGGTGGAGAGGCTCGGAGATGCGACGTCGACGACGGCACTGAAGAAGGAGAACAGGCAACATCAATGGTAGCGCTAGAGGAGAACACTCTGAATGAGGACTAACTTGTGTTTTGTTTTGAGAGAGAGATATGAGAGGAAAACTAATTAACAAAACAAAACCAAAAAACAAAAAAAAAAGGAAAAAATTAGTAGTCTATTTTTTTTTTCTGCCCAATCTGTCAAAATTTTCCCTTCAAAATTAGTGAGTTCCTATTTAGTGTAAAAATTCATATTTTCAAGTGTAAAAAGAGGAGGGGGGGGGAATTTTTATTTTTTAAAAAAATATCATAAATATTATACTTTTTAAGTATATTTATGTTATGCGTGTCTAAAAAAAAACTAGAATATTAAAACAATTCATTGAAAATATAATTTGGAAAATAAAAAAGTAAATTTTTTGAAAACCAAAACCGAACAAGTTTATTAGTGACGAAAATATATTTCTCACCATATAATCTTAAAATTTATAAAATTGAGTTTTTAAAAAAAAAAAATGTAAAATTATTGGTGACGAAAATATATTCCTCACTAAAAATTTTATAATTGGTGACAAAAAAATTTCTCATCAAAAGTCTCAAAATTTTGGCGCCACCAAAAAAATTTAGCGGGAAAACCTTCGATGACGAAATTTAATTTTTCCTCACCTAAAAAGAAATATTTATTGACGAAAATAAATTTCGTCACTAATTACACCATTAAACAACTACAAGAGAGAGAGAGAGAGAGAGAGAGAGAGAGAGAGAGGCTATACCTTTGTGTGTTTTGCAAGAGAGGGATGAGACGAAAACTGGAGCACCAAAAAAAAAAAAAGGGGGGGGGGAGAATCAATAGGGTTATTTTTTTTCATTATCGCCAAATCTCAAAGTTATTCCTTCAAGGTTGGTGATAAAATAATTTTGTCATTAAAAGTTTTAAAATATTAAAATTATTAACAATAAAAATATAATTCTCATTAAATAGTTTTAAAATATTTAAAATTATTTGTAACGAAAATATATTCCTTACTGATAATTTTATAATTGGTGACAAAAAAATTTTTTATTAAAAATCTCAAAATTTTGGCGTCACCCAAAAAAAATTAGAGGAAAAATCTTTGGTGACGAAATTTAATTTTTCTTCACCTAAAAATAAGTATTTATTAACGAAAATAAATTTCGTCACCTATTATTTTTACCTTTTATTATATGTGACAAAATTTATAATTCGTCACGGATTATTCTTATTTAGTGACGAAATATTTTTTTCACTACTTTTCGTCATCATAGGTTTAGAGAGTTAATTAACTTGTGTTTTCGTTTTGAGAGAGAGAGAGAGAGGGGGGAGAGAAAAATTGATAAACAAAAATAAAGGGTGAAAAAAGTTAGTAGTCTATTTTTTCCATTACCGCCCAATATGTTAAAATTTTTCCTCTAAAATTGGTGACAATATAATTTCCTCACTAAAATGTCTCAAAATATTAAAAATTATTAGTGATAAAAATATATTTATCACCAAATGGTCTTAAAACATTTAAAATCAAGTTTCTCAAAAAAAATATATACAAAATTATTGGTGACGAAAATGTATTCCTCGCTAATAATTTTATAATTTGTGACAAATTTTTTTCTCACCAAAAGTCTAAATTTTTGGCGCCACTCAAAAAATATTAGCGGGAAACCTTCAGTGACGAAACTTAATTTTTCCTCACCTAAAAAGAACTATTTGTTGACAAAAATAAATTTCGTCACCTATTATTTTTATATTTTTATTATACGTGACAAAAATTTATAATTCGTCACGGATTATTCTTATTCAGTGACAAAATTTATTTTCTTCACTACTTTTCGTCACCATAGGTTACTTTTGTTGTAGTGTGTCCTGGACTAGATTTTGGGATTTTTTGCTGCTGTTGCTGGAATAGCTTTGCATCCACCAATATTTGTTTCAAGATGTGGATGCTGTTGGAGTTTTCTTAAATGGTCTTCATGGTTCATAACAGAGGTGGTGGCCCCTTTTTGTGTTGTTCTGTGATTCTCTTTGGTTTTGTTTGTCTTGTAAAATTTGGCTTTAATGCTGGATGCACTTACCTCTCTTTTTATTGATGTTGGTTTTCAGAGTTTTTCTATGTATATTAAATTTTCATCAGTAAATTCTTTTGCCCTCCCCCCCCCAAAAAAATAAATAAATAAATAAATAAATAAAATACATAAGGAACATATCTCAACTAGATTGTTACATTAACTCAAAGCAATATCACTTGCAAACATCTAGGAAAACACCCAACCATTGACGAGAAACCAACAAAAGCAATAAATAAATAAATAAACCGACCATAACAACCAAATTATGATTGCCAAGCATCAGCATAATTACGTACACCCACTAATTAATCACAGTTTAACATCAACATTGGAACACCCATACAGCCAATAATTTAACAAACACTTAACTCCCAAATTGAATCTAGCTTTTATCCTTTTTTTTTTCTTTTTTTTTTCTTTTTTTTGTAACAGACATTTTTTACACATCCACTACTATGATGCTCAAGATAATGGCTTAGATTACAAGAGAACACAAACTTTGAATATATAAACAAGAGAATACGACTCTATTGGAGCACTCATATACTAATCAGAGAATACGACTCTATTGGAGGCACTCATATACTTAAAATTTTAATTCATATCTCACTTTTATACATTTTTGTCATATAACACTTTAACAACTATTTTTAACACATCCAATATGCTTCAAGTCCAAAAGAGTGGTTTGCTTTGTTGCTTTTACTTGGATACTTAGCTTGAATTCATAGCCATCCAAATTCTTCCTCCATTTGCCTCTTTTCAGATTGGAGTCCTGCTAGTCAACCCGAAATTGTTATGTTACATAAAAGTGAAAATGAAAATATTTGAGAAAAAACACTGTTAAATCAAAATGGAGAGGCAGATGGAATTACCAGCCTAGTAGAACAATTGGAAGTGTAGCTCCATCGATGGGCTTATGAAATAAATCGCAAGCAAGACCATCGATCTCGATCATCTTTAAGTGATCGACCCTTGGAATGATCTAGTTCAATTTCAGCAACAAAAAAAAGTATCAAAAATCAATCACAATCAAAGAAATCAAGTACATATATGTAGAGATCCATACCAATATTCTGGTAAAATCGCTTATTCATTGATTTCATCAATGGAATTTTCGAGACTGTATCTTCATCTTCATCATCATCTTCATCTTCATCTTCTCCTCTGTTGATGCTGTTGCTCATCTTCTTAGCAGCCTCGGTTGGGTTGGGTTGGGTTGACTATTCTTACATTGTATATATATACACATTCGTTGGTGTTCCTCTGCCTTGCTTTTTTCATAGAAAAGGTATCCCATTTAAGATTTGATAAATACTCATACATGTCAGTAAAGACTCATTAATATTGTGAGATTATCATAATAAATATATATATATATATATATTTAAATAAAATGATTTGAAACTTAGTAAAATTCCTTGGAAAAATGTTTTGAAAAGTGCCTCATGGATTTTTCTTTTTGTTTAGTTATTTACGAAATCGGTTTTTATTGTCTAATTGGGATAGAGATAGTATGTTTTAAATCACGTAAGAATGAGGATGTAATATGCATGCTTAACATGCATCAAGTTTGTGATTATGACAAGACACTACAAAAAATTAAGATTTTAGAGACCAAAATTTAGGGACAAAATTATTTTTTAGGGACCAAATATTTTTGTTGGGAAAAGTGCTGTTATTATATTTTTAGCAACAAAAATTAGATATTAATGATGAATTATTATCCTTTTGGGACCAAATTTTTTGTCTCAAAAAATAAACTATTTTGAAACCAAATTATTTTGTCCCTAAAAATCTATTTATTAGTGACATTTTCAAAATTTTGTCTCTAAAAGCCTTGTTTTAGATTTTTAGGGACGACCTTTTAGCGATTATCCTCATGACGATAGAAGCTGTGAAAACCCAGTTTTGTTGTAGTGGATAAACATAAAAGGGGTAAAAAAATTAAAACCCTACTCATTTTTTTCATTGTCGCTTAATACATCAAAATTTTCCCACCAACATTTTTTCCTCACCAGAAGATCTCAAAAATATTAAAAAATTTTGGTAACGAAAGCATATTCCTCATAAATAATTTTATAATTAATGATCAATTTTTTTCTCACCAAAAGTCCCAAAATTTTGGTGCCACCCAAAAAAATTAGTGAGAAAATTTTTGGTGACGAAACTTAATTTTTCTTCACCTAAAAAAAGTTTTATTAACGAAAATAAATTTCGTCACCTATCATTTTTATTTTTTTATTATATGTGACAAAATTTATAAATTTTCATTTAGTGGCGAAATTTATTTTCTTCACTAGTTTTCGTCATCAGGAGGCGCTGATCGAAGAGAACATGAGGCATCGAAGGAGACGGGCGGAGAGGCTCGGAGATGCGACGTCGACGACGGCACTGAAGAAGGATAACAGGCAACATCAATGGTAGCGCTAGAGGAGAACACTCTGAATGAGGACTAACTTGTGTTTTGTTTTGAGAGAGAGATATGAGAGGAAAACTAATTAACAAAACAAAACCAAAAAACAAAAAAAAAAGGAAAAAATTAGCAGTCTATTTTTTTTTTTCTGCCCAATTTGTCAAACTTTTCCCTTCAAAATTAGTGAGTTCCTATTTAGTGTAAAAATTCATATTTTCAAGTGTAAAAAGAGGAGGGGGGGGGGAATTTTTATTTTTTGAAAAAAATTCATAAATATTATACTTTTTAAGTATATTTATGTTATGCGTGTCTAAAAAAAAAACCTAGAATATTAAAAAAATTCATTGAAAATATAATTTGGAAAATAAAAAAGCAAATTTTTTGAAAACCAAAACCGAACAAGTTTATTAGTGCCGAAAATATATTTCTCACCATATAATCTTAAAATTTATAAAATTGAGTTTTTTAAAAAAAAATGTAAAATTATTGGTGACGAAAATATATTCCTCACTTTTTATTAACGAAAATAAATTTCGTCACCTATTATTTTTACTTTTTATTATATGTGACAAAATTTATAATTCGTCACGGATTATTCTTATTTACTGACGAAATATTTTTTTCACTACTTTTCGTCACCATAGGTTTAGAGAGTTAATTAACTTGTGTTTTCGTTTTGAGAGAGAGAGAGAGAGGGGGGAGAAAAATTGATAAACAAAAATAAAGGGGAAAAAAGTTAGTAGTCTATTTTTTCCATTACCGCCCAATATGTTAAAATTTTTCCTCTAAAATTGGTGACAATATAATTTCCTCACTAAAATGTCTCAAAATATTAAAAATTATTAGTGATAAAAATATATTTCTCACCAAATGGTCTTAAAACATTTAAAATCAAGATTCTCAAAAAAAATATATACAAAATTATTGGTGACGAAAATGTATTCCTCGCTAATAATTTTATAATTTGTGACAAATTTTTTTCTCACCAAAAGTCTAAATTTTTGGCGCCACTCAAAAAATATTAGCGGGAAAACCTTCGGTGACGAAACTTAATTTTTCCTCACCTAAAAAGAAGTATTTGTTGACAAAAATAAATTTCGTCACCTATTATTTTTATTTTTTTATTATACGTGACAAAATTTTATAATTCCTCATAGATTATTCTTATTTAGTAACGAAATCTGTTTTTTTTTACTAATTTTTGTCACCATTCCAAAACAGAGAATAAGAGAAAGAGATACCAGAAAAAGAGCAAACAGAAATCAGTACCAAATTGGCGAGTGAAGAAGATGCGGCAGTTAATGGCGGCAGCAATCGACAAGGCTAATAGAGGCGACGATAATGGCGATCGGCGTGGTAGAGGAGCAAGAGGTAAGACAAATTAATATCATATTTTGAAAGAGAAAGAGAGATATGATAAACAGAAAAGGGGTAAAAAAATTAATACCCTATTTTTTTTTAATTACCGCTCAATATATCAAAAATTTCCCACCAAAATTGGTGACAATATTATTTCCTCACCAAAAGATCTCAAAAATATTAAAACGTTTTGGTGACGAAAATATATTCCTCACAAATAATTTTATAATTAGTAACAAATTTTTTTCTCATCAAAAGTCCCAAAATTTTGGCTCCACCCAAAAAAATTAGCGGGAAAATTTTTGGTGACGAAACTTAATTTTTCCTCAATTAAAATGAAGTATTTATTGACGAAAATAAATTTTGCCACCTATCATTTTCATTTTTTTATTATATGTGACAATTTATAAATTCCTCACGAATTATTTTTATTTAGTGACGAAATTTATTTTTTACACTAGTTTTTGTCACCATAAATTACTTTTGTTGTAGCGGCTGCTGTTGTGGTGGTTATTGGCGGTGATTGGAGTGGTTGAGTTGGTCACTGGTGAGGAGTCAGCCATGAGGACATTCCCTGTCTATGTATGTCTTCTAGCCAGAGAGTGTTGATGTCTATATCCTTTTTATTCTTCAAACTCCAACCGAAAGAGAGATCTTGTGTATCTGTGTGTGATCCGAGAGTGCTGTGTGTTCTGTGTGTGAGTCCCTTCTTAGCTCAAAAATGCTGTCTGTCCATGCCCCGAGAGAGCACTCGAACCTACCATCTTTCCATTGGGAGAAAATCCAATTGCTATGTATGTATTTGTGTTTGGCGCGGAGAGAACAAAGCTCCACAAGCTTGGTCTTGTTTGTGCATATCTGAGGATATAATCTTGAGCAGTCCAAACAGAGTTGCAGATGCGAGAAGAAGTATCGAATTGGATTTTGTCGTTGAGGCTGAGATTAGAAGAGCCTGAATCCGTTTGTCAATTCACATGTGAAGAACCTCCACCAGAGATCAGGACCCCGGCAATGAATATGGAAGATGCCTTTTTTATCCCTTCTTTCTCTCTCTACTCCCTTTTCTCTCTAAAAAATAATAGGGGTGAGCATGGTCCAAATTAGACCGGATTTGGGTAAAATCAGGACCAATCCGTTATCTACGGTTCCTGAAAAATTAGAACCGATCCAATCCGTTTAAATCATGGAACCAATCCAAACCAATCCATTTAAACACGGATTGGATCGGTTTAGAACCATGGATTCACATAATTAAATAACAAAAAAATATATATATAACACTTTAATTTCATAAAAACATAAACATAGCGCTATAGTAGTTCTACAATAGCAACATGTTTTTTTATAATAGCGATATACTGTTCTAGAATTTAAACGATCATAAGAAAACTTGTTTTACCATAAGAATTTAGACCATTATAAATTAAAAGTAAAAACTAACAAACAAAAGTAATGAAAGAAGATATTATACAAGTTTAGGTTTGAGTTTAGGTTTTATATAGAATAAGAGAAGATACTATGGGGGAGGATGTATAATAAAAATATAGACTATTTGTATATGGTCCGGATCAGTTCTAATCTGGAATCGTGAGGTTCAATCCGGAACCAATCCGTGGACTATGAATTTTTAATTTTTCAATTCGAAACCGAACCACGGATTCAAAAAACCAATCCAAGCCTATCGAATTAAACTGAACTGAATCAGATTACGAATTTCACAGATTCCTTACTCAACCCTAAAAAATAATATCTCTCCACTCTTGTTTTCTTTTTTTTCTTTTTTTCTTCAGAATCCACTGCCCATGTGCATCGAGCCCTTGACAAATAATGATTCATCACCATAAGTAAAGCACAGCTGACCCTTTTGAGTTACATACATAATGGGTGTGTTTGATTGGACGGACTGGAAAATAGGAGATTAGAATCTATCGGACTTGAGTCCTGGGACTGTGAATCCCCCGGACTATTTGGTCGGATTGGATATGTATCCTGTGTTTGTTTTTTCATGGGATTAGATATCTGGATAGGACTATTTTCATTGAATCCAACGTTTGGTTGGACGGACTGGATAAGATAAATGAACAAAAGACTATTTTATCCTTTTTCAATTGTTTACTAAGTAATAGCAATATTAAACATATCTTTAATATTTTAATTATTTTTAGTAAACATTAAACATACTAATGGTTAAATTTTGTTTAAAGATATTTAAACATACTAATATTGATAAAAAAATTTGACTGGTATAGATTATTTTTATTTAAACAAATAAAAATTTATTGTTGAAATTAAACATACTAATGGTTAAATGTTTAAATTTTTATTTAAACAATTAACATTGAAATTGGGAAAATGAAAAGTAATTTGGACTTGTAAGTCGTTGACATAAATATGTTATTTATGTGATTGTATCAGTGTTGACCAACTATCAATTGCTA